TCTTCTGACCCTGTCTGTTGTGTTCCAGGTGGAGCTGCTGCACAGCCTGGTCTACCAAACTCTGGAGTTCATCAGCGACCGGAACAAGAAGTAGGACGGAGCTCCTTCAGGACAAAGTGTTTTTCTCTGTTTTCTTTTTCCGGCTCGTGATCCTATTTTTCCTCCTGACAGACGGAGCAAACAGGCGGTGGCGTCTCAGGAGGACGGCGGGGTGATGGATCACCACGACGACGACGTGGACGAAGTAGGAAGCTTTATCTAAACGTGTTTGTGGGTCAGAGTGTCGGTCACCATGTTGGCATGGAGAGTAGCAGCTAGCTGGCTGGAGAAGTGTTTTAACGTGACAAAGATCAGCAGAACTCTAAACAGAATCTGGCTTTACTTATAAAACATTAACGCACGCTTCACCCAGACGGACGGGTCCATGTTTAACTCCAGAACCAGTGAGAGTGGATCAGAGGTTCCTCCAGCGTCTGGTTCAGTCCAGAGATCCTCAGTTTACCGTCACAGAGGAAAGAAACCAGAACATCCACAGAGTTTACATGGTTTTTATTTAAAAGAAATAAATGTTAAAAATGGTTTTTTTACATTTTTTAATGTTTTAATATCGATTAAGTTTTTTTTCTTTCCAAAAAATTACACTTTAGAAAACATATGGTTTATTTTTTAATATATTTTTGTGTTTGTGTTTAAAGTATTTTTATTTGTTCTGATCTTTAAAAATGCAGATTTTTTACATTAGAAACCCTTTTTTTTTTTTTTTTCAATTTTTAACATAATGTAACAGTTTTTTGTTGCCTCTAAGCATTGTGGGTAACGTAGGCAGCCGCTGACATCATCCTCTGTCTCCTTCAGTTCACTCCTCGGGAGCTGCAGGAGACGGAAAACTCCCAAACGTGTGTCTCCACCGCGGTGAGTTCATCAGTTTATTGATCTGTACCTGGTCTGTACCTGTGGTGTAACTGGTCTGTACCTGGTGTGTAACTGGTCTGTACCTGGTGTGTACCTGGTGTGTAACTGGTCTGTACCTGGTGTGTGTTGGTCAGGTGGCGGAGGTGACGCCTCTTCCTCCAGAGTCTCTGATTCCTCCTGAAACCCGCGAGAAGCAGAAGCTTCCTCTGATCAGGTGGGCGTCTTGTTATCGATCATTCTGTTTTCTCTGTTGGTTTTCTGCCGGTTTGTGTTTGACCCGTTGTGTGTCGGTGCTGCTCAGTGTGAGCGGCGACGTCGTATGCAGTCAGAAGGACTTCAAGATCAACCTGTTCATCCCCGGAGACGAAGATCTGATCCTGCTGAGGCGCCGGTCGGCTGCTGAAGGGCTCCTGATGCAGCAGCAGCAGGACTCTGTGGAGCTTCACCTGCAGCAGCAGCAGCAGCTCACAGGTAGGACGGGACCAGGACCAGTCCTCTGTTTACTGAAACCAGGACCAGGACCAGTCCTCTGTTTACTGAAACCAGATCCAGTCCTCTGTTTACTGAAACCAGGACCAGATCCAGTCCTCCTCCACTTCACTGAGTTCTAATCCTACATCAACACTCAGTCTGTCCTCCAGTTTAAAGATCTTTGAACATATTAGTGCTTTCAGCCGTTTCCTGCTTCACTCGTTCTTCTTCTTCTTCTCTCTTCCTCTGTACCTTCACTGGATGGAGGTCTGGTTGGTTGGTAGCTGGCCTTCCTGGTTCTGGACCTTCAGTGACTCCATGTCTTTTGATCTTTGCTTCAGATGCTGAAGCTCCGGCTGGTGGAGATGAAGCTGATGAAGCTGGAGCTGAAGCTGTGGAGGACTTCATGGATGTGGAGGAACACATCGACCGGCACCAAGTCTCAGTACTGATCCGGTTTCATTTAGTCTTTCTTAGTGAAGTTGTTTGACTGACAACATTTATATTTATGAGAAGTTTTGTTCCGTCCAGATGAACATTTATGTGTTAAACGTTCTCAGGCTCCTGAAGGCAGGATGATCAGAGACCGACGTCAGCTGGAGGCCGACCGACGGAGGAGGATGGACGAGCTGCTGCTGCCTGAACAGGTAGCTCATGATTATGAAGAGTTTACATCCTCTAAACGCTTTTTACATTAAATGACTTTATTTTCTCATGAACTTTATTCTCAGAATAGTTTCAGACTTGATGCATAAATTACACAAAACATTATAAAATTCCTCTGAATCTACAATTTTCTTCATATCAATAATTAAATCTAATTATTTGTTCAAACTCTGTCCAACGTAAGTTTTAATAATTTAACTCAGTCGTCCAGTTTGCTTTTAAATGTTTACATGTTTGTGGCCCTTTTCTTTTAAATTATAATTTAAATTCTTCAAACGTCACAACTTAAACTTAATTCTTTTGGTTTTTAGTTAAATTAAGGCTGTGATGTCATTTCTCTCAGACATAACAGTTCTATTATTAAAATATCTAAAATGTCTGAAATAAGTTTGTAATTTAAATATTTTAAATTAGAAAATAGTTTTTTCAAAGTAAGACTTTTGTGTGTTTCATCTTTTTGTGAAATGACGACTTCAGTCTTCAGATGTTCTGATGTTACGTTTTCTGGAGAAATTAAACGACAAATTCCTTTAATTAGTTTTTGTTAAATATTTTAATTTCCCTAAAATGACAACTGTGATGAATAATTTAATTTCTCTCTCATAAAATTTGTGATTTATGGGTGTTTAAGAGCACGATGATTATTTCAGCACCAGTGTTCCTACAAGGATCAGTTCTGATGAATGAATGAATGAATGAATGAATGAATGAATGACTGAATGAATGAATGAATGAATGAATGACTGACTGACTGGTGGGTTTCTCTGTGTTCCAGGACGACGTCTGGACGCTTCACGACGCCTACGCTGAGCTGGACGGAGAGAAACCCATGAAGCCAGGTACCGCTCAGGACGCTGCTGCTCGCTGTGTTGCTGTTGTTGTTGTTGTTGTTGTTGTTGTTGTTGTTGTCGTTGCTCCACGCTGACAGTCTGTGTCTGTCCAGGGAAGGTCTACAGGGTTCCTGACGGTCTGGACGACGGCGGGAAGCGTAAGAGGAAAGCGGCGGCGGCTCTGCAGGACTTCGGCAGCTGGATCAGAGGAACCTGTAAGATGAACCCGTCATCAGTTCACTGTGCTCAGGTTGGGCTGCAGCGTTTGACCCGTTTGTTGGTTTGTTGCAGACGATCCGTCGGAACACAAGCTGAAGAACGGACCCACGTTCACAGGTAACGGGTTTCTGCACAAAGTCCCACAACTAAAGAACCGGGTCAGGTCCAGAAGAGGAGCAGAATGAGTGAACTTACCTCCAGATGAAAGCGTTAGACGCTGGTGGCCTGATGTTCCACCAGACTGAGCTTCATTCAGCTGAAACAGAACCGTTTGTTCTTTCAGACCTGAACTACATTTATCTGAGCATCATGGAGGAACGGCTGAAGACCCAGAAGAGGATCAACAGGAGGGCGGTAAGTTCTCACACCACAACATCCACCAGCAGTGTTTGGTCCAAGATGACTGGAGACCTGCTCAGAGTGACTCACCAACGGTCCAAAAGGATCAGAACTGGTTAGAATGGGGCCCAGTTCCTCAGAAGGACTCGGAAATGGCCTGAAAACCATCCAACGTTTCTCAAAAACTGCATTTTTTAAAAATAACTTTTCCCAGAATGACCTGACGTTTGTCTGAAATGAGTTGATGATGATTCAGAATTTATCAGAAATGTGTTCAAAATAAGTTTAAACTGTCCACAGTGACTCCAAAGGTGTCTCAAGTGAGTTAAAATGAGTTAAAAATGTTCAGAATGTGGTTTAGAAAGTAGTTTATGTTGTTCAGAATGACTCCAAACTGGAAAGACTCGACATGAATCTGTTTTAATTCATTTTAATTTCTCTTAAAATCTACAAACTGAACGACTGAATGTTTCCAGAGTGACAGAAAAAGTCTTTGTTAGCTTCACCTCTCACCACGATGTTTTCAGGGTCTGGTGGTTTCCGAGGACGAGATGAGGAGGACGTTCCTGCAGAGGGAGGAGGCGGGGCCTGACGACCAGGGGGAGGAGCCTGTGGACGGCTTCAGAGCACCTGAGCTGCCAGGTAACCGACCGACATTTTAGCTCCGTTTCTTGCGTCTCGAGGCTGCAGCCTTTAATTTAGGTTCACGTTTATTGAAACAAAAATAAAGTCGTCGCAGCTGGAAGCACGAAAATCTCAAAATTCACCAAAAATATGTGACAGGACTTAGTTTTGGGTCCCAAATAACGTTCTCCTCACCTAGCATTAGCATTAGCATTAGCAGCTAGCAGTTCAGAATGACTAAAATCCTGTTTCCTGTCCTCAGTTCCACTCACTGCACATGCTCAGGAGTGTTTCCCTGCTGCTAAAGTTTAACTAACGTCCAACAGGTGGAGACGAAGACAACTTTGATAACTTGGAGGTGTTTCCTGACGATGGTCCAGCAGAGGGCGCCGACGGACCAGACTTCATATCTCCTGGTAAAAAGTCTGATTCACAGCCCAGATGAAGCTGATCAATGAGATCGTATCTGAAGACTTCATTTCTCACTTGCTGCTGTTGTGTTTTTTATTTTGTGCGTCTGCAGAAGGTCAGAGAGACGAACTGAGTTATGAAGCTCTGGTGATGCTGCGTGTGGTGAGTGATCGATCATGTTATTGATACGGCTGCTGATGGATCAGGCAGAAGCAGCACGGTGGTGGACAGTGTTTGAAACATCACTCTGACATTTCCTCAACATCTTCATCAACATCTGAAGCTATGATGAGGTCTGCAGCAGAACTCTGGTGGTTCTGGTTTAACTGAAGCTTCCTGTTTCTCGTGCTGCGTTCAGGAGCAGCTGGTGGTCAACAGCCAGGCCTACACTCAGGAGACGGCGCTGTCTCGACGGGTCAAAGACTGGGAGGAGAAGATCAGACCTCATCTCCAGCTGCAGGTAAACCAGCCGCTGGAACCGGTTCAGACCGGTTACGTCCCAGTTCAGCCCACCTGACCGCCGCCTCCTGTTTGTTTCTGCAGGAGGAGCGTCCCACGTTCGACATCCACGACTACGGGGAACGGATCGTGGAGTCGCTCGGCGCCGTCGGCCGGCGCAGGTTCTTCTCCTCCATCGTTCACGGTTTGGACCCGACGGAGGTCTGCAGGTTCCTGCTGGCGTCGCTGCAGCTGGTGAGTCTGATCAGTACCACCATCGATCAATAACGAGGATCGGAGCTGATTGATCAGCCGACACATGGACCAGAACAGGTCCTGCTTCTAGAGACACTGTTTAACGTTTGAAGCCTTTTAGAACCCGACTGGTTACTGATCGGTGCTGTGTGCAGGCCAACGACCACACGGTGGAGATCGACAGCGCTGCAGGACTTCACCACAGCCTGGACACCATGGGTCTGACTCTGCTCAGCACCCAGAGGGCGACGGACCGCTTCAGAACTCTGACCGACTCGACCTGATCATCAGAACCTGCTGCTCCTTTGTTTACAGTGAATCATGCGTCTGTCTGTGGAGGCTCCTGTCACCCCATCATCCTTCAGTATGTCCATATTTTTAATAAACTCTGTGTGTTTGCAGCATCTGTGTGGACGTCTGAAAACATCTAAACATGTCCAAAAGGTTTCATGTTTGCAGGGTTTTCTGCTTTTGATTCGGTCGTCATTCAGATGATCCGTTTTTCCACAAAATTCCACCAAAGTAGAAAATCTGCAGCTTTATCTTGTATTTATTACGTCTGTGTCTCATAATTACCATTTAGTTTACCAGGTAAGATGGTAGATGGTGAGTAAAAAGGTATAAAATCTAGATATTCATACTTATATTGGACAACCAGATTGAAGCTTCAGCAATACTTGGGCAATATTTTTGATTTTGTGGCACAACTTGTCACACCTGCTCAATCGGTTATGAAAGTTAAACCCACATGACTTTTTTCTAATTTTTACAATCAAA